GCTAGATATAGCGTAGTTGTGTACCCTGGTAGGTCTAGGTACTCATGCCCACTATATGTGCGTTTTGCATGTTGCCTACTATTCAGGTTGAGACAACTCTATAGTCTAGTGAGGTTCCTTTAGTGTGCATATATCTATATATGGACTATTTAGTTATTGTTGAATTAATTAGGATGTGTACATGTATCGGGTCTCTGTTTGGGATGTAGTAGATTAGAACTTATTTATGAGTCTGACCCACCATTATTTTTTAGGTGTTCGTCAGTTCCAGTCTTAGAGATTGTTCGTGCCGAGCAGAGATAGCCATTCACTCTTCCGACTCTACGTAGGACTCGTCTTCATTAGTTACTTATTATTTTTATTTCGGTTCAGTTAGGATATTATTAGGGGTCCACAGTATGGATTCCCGAGTTGTAGTTTAATTAATTACTAGTATCCGAAGATTGGAGGATTTTATTATTGGATTTTTTAATTATTATTTATTTGAGGATTTTAAAATAGGGATTTATTATTTAGTTTCCTTCGGCTTATTATTTATTTATTCTTTATTATTCTTTTTGTATTCAAATGCTTGTTTAAATATTAATTGTTTGATATCTCTTATATTCTGTGTTCGGACTTGATCACTCGTGGTTCTAGAATTGAGGGGGTATCACAACAATCATAATCACAACCATGCCATTATATATATTTAACCACATATATGCATATATAAACACATCAAATAAGATAATTTAGAAAATGTAATGAAACTAGAAAGTTTTCCGAACACAAAAACCCGGCACATAGGACCTCTCGGGCTTGAAAATCCAAAAATGATAAAATGTACTAAATGATCCCTGGAACCAATGTGGCACGCAAATTGATAATAAAAAATAATAAATATGAAAATAAAGAAAAATACTGAAAAATGCAGGAAAAAAAATCCTGAACCTTACACAAAAAAAGTTTGAACGGAAAAGAGGTCACCATAGGAGAAGATGATGATGTCATCTGCAAATGAGATATGGGTAATGGCTAGTTTGCTATGTAGACATCTTATTTTGCATCACCTTTTTCAAATAATTTTAAATTATCTTGTAGTTCTCGAGAAAACAATAAAATTAAAGAAAAATAACAATAGAAAAAAACAGAGAAATAAATAGAAAACAAGAAAATAAAAAGAAAAGGAAAAAGGAAATAATAAATAACGTACATATATATTAAATCACTCACATCTAAGTACACCTAAGTACACCCATTTAGTTTCAATCCACCTGCACGTTACGAATACTCACATCCAATACATCACCAGCACAAAGACAACTCCCTTACATCTCACTTCCCGTACACTCACTAACGTAGGATCAACCCCATATTCTTTTACTTTGTAAACTAATAGTAACACCCCAGGCATTCACACTTTTCTTGTAATCCCATTACTATATCTAATAATCATTTTATCTCCCTTTATATCTCTATCTCTACAATGACCCATTTTCTTTCTTAATTTTTTTTCCTTCTCTCTCTCTATATTCCATATATATCAACCTTCTCTTTATACCACTCGCGACCCCATTTCCCTCTCTGTTACAATTGTCACTGCACAACACAAAAGAACCTTTTTTTCCACCCTTTCATCTCTCACGTGATCACATCTCAGCCCTTCATCCAACTGACAAACAACGTGTTAACTTTACATCTCTTAGTTTTTTTTTCTTAATTTTGTACTTCTTTAAAAAAATATTTATTTTTAGTTTTATTTTAGCACGAGACCAAGATAGTATTGAAATTTTCTTGAAACATTCTTCAAGATTCTGAAAATAATTTTTTTTTCTTCCTTTCTCTTTTCCCTTCCCTCAAATTAAACACGAAAAATCTCTTTTATCCTCTCTGTCATCCATCCCTCTTCGATCATTCCTTCCAACAAAAAATAACATAAATTCATCCATTAAGCAAAATATGTACAAAACAAGGACTAAAATTTTATAGGAACCGGTAAAAGTCACGATTAATATGTACTTTTTTTTTAGTTAAACGGTAAGCTTATATAAATGAAGAAAGAATATAGATCGGGTACCAAAGGACAACACAAAGCCTAAAGGCAACAAACAACATAAGAGCAGAGAAGAACAAAAACTAATAGCTATCACACAAACCAAACCAAAAAGAGCAAAAACTGAATATAATGATCAGCAAAAAAGTGATTGAGCAGCTGCAAAGCTGCATCCTTGCACGAATAGATGTTGTAGATCTTCCCAGCCAAACAACAAAGAAAGGTTAGTAGAGTATCTTAGTTTAATTGAGGCTAGTTTTCCTCTGGTGCAGTTTCTGATATGTTTGATGATGATATGAGGAGGTGAGGACCTGTTTCTAAAAGCTATTGAATTCCTTTCTAACTAGATGAAATAGACAATAGCTGAGAGAAGCAGTTTGTGCAGTAAGAATCTTTTAGAACTCTAATTTGAGGTACACCAAGAAACTAGATCCTGCCAGCAATTAGGTTTAATGTAGAATCTTACAGTATATTGAACAAAGTTCAAAATTTCCTCAGAGAACTTGCACTTGAAGAAGAGTTGATCTAGAGACTCCTCACTAGCCAGGCAAAAGTAGTAAGCGTTGATGTAATGTTTCTTAAGCATTGGTTTAGAATTTAAAGTATATAACCTCCTTCTTATAACAAGCCACGCAATGAAACAATGCTTGAGGACATAATGCTTAAACCAAATGATCTAGTGCCATGGGAAAATAAAAGATACTGGCAGGTAGTAATTGATGGTATGTGACAGGGGAAAGGTTTTAGTTGGTGATGGTAGTCATAGTGCATCGTCTGGTAGAGTGGATGGTAAAGGCAAGTTATGTAACTGAGAGAGGAAATTATGGGATTGGAAAAATGGTATATGAGCCAAGAAATATGGGACAACCCATTGGCAATTGGAAATTAGACTATCAACTTTGATAAATCTATCAAGTTGAAAGTTTTCATTTCAGTGAGGTTGAGATGTGAAATAATAGGGCCACTGGGTAACCAGTAGTCTAACCACAACATAATATCAGTGCCATTACCCCACACTATACATTATAATTCCTCTTGCCATATCCCTCAACTTTAAAAGCCTTCTCCAAAAGTCAGAATTTAGTGCAGATGCCTTTAAAGTCCAAAAACTCCCTGTCTTAATCAAGTACTTGTAGCATTAAGCAACCACAGACTTTATTTCTTTTTATCAAATAAACTACAAATGTACTTTAAATTTGTAATTATATTTAATATTTCCAGATTTGGAAAGTCAATACCACCAAAGGGTTTTAATCTACATACCACATCCTAGGCCACTATGGCCCTTGAATTCTTTAACTCTACACCAGACTACAAAAAATACCTCAGAACTTGGTTGACTTGATTAATCACCTTCTTGGGAAAGACAAATGTCTAAGCCCAGTAGAATTGAATAGAGCATATAATGGACTTAATTAGCACTGATCTACCTGCAAAAGATAAAAATCTAGAAGTCCATATCTTAACTCTAGAGATGATGCTTTACACTAAATATTGATAGCCAGTAGCATTAATTGCTTTATAGGACAATGGTAAATCTAAGTGTGTCACAGGCAAAGTCCCAATTTCAAAATTGAGAAGAACTAAAATGTCAGCCTTAGTTTGGCTACCCACCTCAGCAAAGAAGGTAAGATTCTTGGAAGAATTGAAGTTTAATCTTAAGATAGTGAAGAACCTATTGAGGGCATCAAAGTGTCACGACCCAAATTTGTAGGATCCGAGTGATGAATCCGGAAGGGATACGAACCGGGATCTTACCCAAGCCCCAAAACCAATTACAAGTAAAATGGTCAATCCAAGACAAGTAAGATGAGTGATTTGACTCTAAATGAGTCAAATGGGCTCCATTCAGGTCATCATAGCCATTCAAATCCATTCCATAGGGTTCTAGATGCAAGAACATTATTTTCCCACAAATAAGCCTATTCGGTTTAGGAGATTTTCGGAATAATCCTTACTAAAATGATCATAACTTTCATCTACAGTTGGAATTTTGGAATGGGGTTGGTACCATTGGAAATTTGACTCACAATTCTTGAAATTAAACTAAAATTTAGACCAATTTGGAGTTAAAATGAAATAGTTATGGCCTTCTAAAGTTGGAAAAATTATGCTAGTGAATAGTAATTTCAATCTTATAAAATTGGAATTTCAGTCGGCTACAATTCTAATTGTATTCAGTTGAAACTCCATGTGAGTGGAATTTCAAGATTTAACTCTCTGTTTCTCACCATTTGTGTAACGACCCACGCCGGGGGTCCGGATCACTAAACGAGTCTCGACCCAACCCGTAAACTCCCAAGGCTAAAATGGTCAATATGACCTGTACAAGGCATTATGAGCCTACACGAAGTCCTAAGAGCTAATTCTTACCATTTTGAATCACTTTTGAATGAGAAAATCAACATCGATCACTATTTGTGTCACTTAGGGTTACAAGGGTAAATTGGTCTATTTGGATCGTGCAACTCATTGGGGAGCTTTTAACTGTCTTCTAGGACATATGTGGTCATTTAGGATCATTTTAGAAATGAAAGAAAGCAATTTGATTCAAGGCCGTCCAATTTAGGTCTAAAAAGGACAAAAATGCTTTGTAGGTAAACTTCGCCATTTCGGGTCGCGTTGATTTTTGCTTTAACATTTTCAATAAGGGAGTAAACAACATAAATTATTGTGGTTGATTATTAAGTTTATTTTAATTTTAAAAAAGTTTTTTCAATTAAATTTCTATTTTTGTGGTATAATTTTCTATTTATTTGGAGAGCCGAAATATTGTGAGATTTATATTTCATATGGCAGGAAATAATATTTTATTATTTGGTACAAGAGAAATTGAAATGAAGAGTTGAAAGTAAGAATAAATGAAATATATAAATACAGTATATTATTTAAGATGTTTGATTTTTTTTCTTAAAAGAGTGATAAAGAATATATATATTTTCTATTTCCAAAGTGTCACCACCTTTCTTTTACTCTCATTCTGTCCAAGCATCAGGTTGACGCGTACCCGACGCAGCCGCCAGTAGACGGTCTTTTCGGTCAACAATTGCAAAACCCTAGAATGCATTTTTAAGCCGCAGACACACACCTATATAAACAAGTTAGTTCCGTCTATATATATAGCGAACCAAACGATACTCGTAGATATCTCTCGTGGGGGAAGTGACGAGCAACTATGGTGTGTTCAGATTCAATATCGTGGGGGAAGTGACGAGCAACTATAGTCTTCAAAACCCTAGAATGCATTCGGTCTATATAGCGAACCAACTGATATTCGGTCTATAGTGTTGAGCAACTTCATACCGGTATGTCATAATTGATATATATATGTTTATATATGTATTTAAGTATTTGTGTATATTTTGCCTCTCCTTTCAGCTGCAAAGGCATAGATCTGATGATATGTTTCTTGATGGCTTTGATCTAGAGGCATATATTTAATCTCCAAAGTTTTAGGGGTGTAGTTTAAACCAAGGGCGGATCCAGGATTTGGGCTAAATCAAAATATATCAACCAAAATCAACTGTTGTTTAATTCAATTTTAGTTAATTAACCAGGTTACTGATTAAGGCATATAAAATCCTATTTGGGTAATTAATAAAAAAAAATACCAATTTATTTCTGAACAATTCACCACTCAGTACCCTATCTCTTCTTTTGACCAATTTACTTATCCTATTTGAGAATCTACTAGTGGAAGCAGAGTGTGAGGTAGTTCATGGCAAGCCCCTTCCAACACTATGGAATTCACTCAAAAACATACTTTTTGTAAGTATTTTAATTTTCAAGAAGTAGCTTTAGAGCTTTACCCTATTTTAAGTACTTTTGCTTGTAAAGTTCTTGTTATGATTTTTTTTTTTTTAGTTCTGAAAAGATTTCCATCTTCAAAAAGCTTGACATATTGATAAAAATTGTTTCAGATTCAATCTCTCCAGATTTTTCTATTTTTCGTGCCCAGATTCAAAATTTTTGAACTGGAACAGCGGGCGATGGAAACTGAAAGATATGGGTTTTGATATAGGTAATAGGTTTTGAACTTTTGATTCTTGCAGGCAGACAGATAAACTGAAATATATGGGTTTTGAACTTCTGATTTTGTAGATTTTGTAGTTTGCAGTTGCAGATAGAGAGAGAGGGTAAGTTCAGAGTTGAGAACGAGAATAGAGATGGAGGCGATTCGGGAGGCTGAAATGATTTGCCCTAAAAATATTTTTTTTTGTTTTTCTGGTGGCCTCTCTCTCTCCATCTGCAACTGCAAACTTTGTCCTTGGGTCAGGGCCGCCCTGGGGGCTTATTTGCCGTGGGCCTTTATTTTAGTATGGTGGCTGAATTGACTTGGGGTTGATTGGGTGGGCTAATTTTGGGATGAGCTAATACTAATAATAATTTTTTTGTTGGGTGGTCTAAAATTAGTATAGTAAATTTTTTTTTTTCTATTTTTTGGGACTAAAGCCCATCCCTACATCCGCCCTTGGTTTAAACCAGAGTTGTGGTTCTTGCTACTCTGGTCTCCCCTTATTTGGTACATTTCCATTAGAAATTAATTTATTTTGCTTTTCTGTAGTATATTTGTGCTCCATTTGGTTGCCTAGATATTGATATTGAATGAAATTAATATTTATACTAATTTTTTTATCTAAACAGATTTGGTTTGGCTTGTTTTAGATTGTCTTCTTGGCAACCATACGAATTCTATGAAGCATACGATTAATATTGATCTTTTGTCTTGATGTCTTCCCTAAAACAATTATGTTTTTCATAAGTTGATATATTTGCAGCATTAGTTTGATTGCATTGGATCTAGTAATTTTGATTAATGGTGGTCTTGGGACAGGCAAAAGTGACACTTGCTGCAGCATGTAATTTTGATTATGTTTTTATTATTCAAGGTTGTGACATTTAGGCAAAGCATGTAGTAAAGATTGCATATTTACTTTTTTGTTTATAGAGAAATGGTAGGCGCAGTTGGTTGGCAAACTGTTTGGCAACCTCGTTGCACAAGTGAATGGAAGCTTTACACTATGAGTAGTTTATTGTAAACAAAAATCAAACTGAGATTCCCTTTTATGTTGTTCTTAGGTGGTTTGGAACTATGTGATCTTTGCCAATCACAAAATACACCAAATGTGTCGGTATTGGCCGGGACAGCATGATTACGGACTACCTAATACTTTCTAGATCCTCAATATCTTTATATATGAACCCTTTTCAAGATCTACACATTGCATTTAATGTGATAAATTAATTGAAATTCTAGCAAGGAAAATGATTCTCAGTGTTATGCCGATTTTCCTAACTTAAGGATATTTATCCCTTCGATGTAGTGGATAAGACCCACATTTGAGTTTATCCACCACATCAAAGGGATAAAAAAATTAGGCTTGACAATTCAGCCTAACAAATAGGCGTGAATATCAGCCTAACAAATAGGCGTGAATATCAGTACTCTTCTAGCAAAGCTTGTCCCACTATCAATAATCAAATTCACTTATTTGTCATTAGTCATACAAGAAAAGTACTAAAACACTAACAAAAATAATAATAAAATTAATGTTACTATTATTAATAGTAGCGTAGAGTGGATAGATAATAAAGCAAACGAGTATTAAATCCAACAGTGCACAAATATTCTAGGAATAATGACATTTTGTAATGTGTATCGGTTTTGAAGTCAGACAATTTATTCAATTATTTGCAAACTTCTCCTTAAAATAACATTAAATGCCATGCACTCCTGCATTAAAAGAAATTATCATAATTTCTGAAAATATCATTAAATGCGATGTACACCCACATTAAAATAAATGATCATAATTCCTTAAAATAACATTAAACTCCTGCGTTAAAAGAAATTATCATAATTCCTTAAAATAACATTAAATGCGGTCTAAACTATTTTATGTTTGATAATATCTTTTAGAAATAATATTTGATTAATTTTTGTAAATCTAAAACCCTTATTATTGGATTTGGTTTGAAGGTAGAATTTAGAGAGAAAGTGAAGAGTGAAACACAGAGTGAAAGTGTGTTGAGCTATCCTTTACAACATCTATAATGGTGGCAGTATAGTAAATTTATCAAATTGAAAGGGCATGTCAATTTTTTACTTTTGTTTTATTCATAAACTCAAAGTAAGGTGCTTGTGTTCTTAACTGGTGCTGCGAGTGTGATGCCACCGTTATTGTGGATAGCATTTCTCTTATTTATAATGCAAAATTCTATGAACATCTTTGCCTTATTTTTAGATTTGTGCGTTCGTTCATATTGTGGATTTTAATTCTTTTTAAACATATAAGCGCCTATTTGATATATTTGTCTAAAAGTCACTACTTAAATTGCTTTTTACGACATTAAAAAAGGATCAAGATACATAAAGTTGAAAATCCTCGAAATTATCTTAAGCTAAATCATTGTGTTTATCCATTATCCATTTATTCTTAATGCCGTTGTGACACAATGGCTCTCCTTTCGGCTGCAATGACAGTGATCTGAGTAGGATCAATTTATTGATAGCTTTGTTCTGAAGGCATATATTAGTCTCATCCAAAGTCTTGGGGGTTTAATTTTATCTGGAGTTTGTGACCTTCCTTTTGTGGCTCCCCTTTCTTTGTTAATTTTTTTGATAGATATATGTTTCTCTTGCTTCTTTTTTATTTATTTTTTTTTTTTATTAGAAAAATATTGATAATTTTTAGTAAAAACATTTCTATATGTCAAGATTCTACTCATAGTTGCTGAAAAGTTGAGGAATATGAGATCTTAAAGCTTTAGTATGTCAAGTAAGTTAGTATGCAAAGTTGGCCTTAGTTTTGGATAATATGATGTTAGATGTTGGTTTTGGAGGATATAATACTAAATATTAGTTTGGAGAATATAATGCTAAATGATTATGTTTAATGAATTCCTTATTGAAAAAATGTATTATTACCATACTAGTGTTTTGGTAAGTTTCTGTTTTGTGGTGGATTCATAGTTTAGAATAAGTTGATTGGTTTGGAAACAGTTGTTTCTATAATATTTGTAATAATTTTTGGAAAATATGGTCTTCATGAATCTATCTTACTAGCCTACTCTGAGTTGGTACACACAATTGTGGAAATAATGCGATAACTAGGGTAGTAACAGTCGGGAACTGCACGTTTTCTTTCACATCATATTTCTATCTTTTCCCAATCAAAATGATCTCTCTATTTATTTTTTAAGAATTTATGTTACATGGACTCACATAACTGTGGAGGGTGCAGGGATGGGTTTTATTTATTCTGTATTTTTTTTTTTTCTCATTCCAAGTAAATGCATTTTTCTAAGCATTAACTCAACTTATACCCAAGCACAGCAGATTGTATTGTCGGTTAACAATAGCAAAAACCCCGAAATGCATTTTCAAGTGGCATACGTAGCTCAATTGTTCTATTTGTTTGTATATATAACCAGTCAAAATGATACTCATGAGGGGAGTGATTAGCAACTTCATTACGGTATGTAATAATAATAGTGATAATGTTTATATATTGTGAGATGATTTTGTGGTTCATATATATATGTGTGTGTGTGTGTGTATTTGTGTATATTTTGCCTCACCTTTCAGTTGCAATGGCATGGATTTGATGATTTGTTTCTTGATGGCTTTGTTTTGGAGGCATATGTTTAATACCCCAAAGTTTTAGGGGTTTATTATTGTCGGGGAAAAAACAAAGATATAACAGGGTAATGCAACAAATACAATACCCAAGTCAAATGCGGAATACCCAGAACTATAACTTTTCCCTCATTGTCATTTTGCCTAAGATTAACAAATATAAAGCAGAGATAGCAAACAGTCAATAAAATCAATCACACAATGAACACCAGGATATACATGGGAAACCTTTTAGAAAAAATTACGGGCCAACTTTGAATAATCTTCCACAATCAACACCTTCGGATAACAACAACAGAATGAAACGTCAACCAGAAGCTAGAAATTAAATTCAGGGTGGGCACGACGATATAAAATAGGGCACGATGTAAAAAAAGAAAAAAAAAAATCAATAATCACGACGATATAAATTTTATAAGTCGGAGAGGGAAAAAAAAATTACTTAAAATAAGATGTCAATTAATGATTATTTAAGGAAGATAAATAGTTAAAAAAAAAATTAAAAAGGAAAGAAAAATGTGAGAATTTTGAAAGGAAAAAAATTGGTGTTTGATTTAAAAAGGAAAATATGACTCTTTTTAAAGGAAATTAAACGAATTTAAAGAATGAAGAAATACAAAATTTAAGAGAGAATTTTAGAAAATAAAAATTTTAGGGGTTCATTATATGAATTTTTTCATATATATATATATGTAAAAATATATAAATTTAGTATATGTTCTATAGTAAACGGGCTGGGCCAGGCGGGGGGCACGTGACCCTCTGGGCATACACGGGCTCCTCCCCTGGCTATCAACCACATAGATAATTAATCTCACCCAGTGTAAAGCAGAACGTAAAATAGAGATAAATGGAGAACCTGGCTAAAGAGGATGATCTTCTCAATGCCAACAACCTCCCCCTGAAGCTACACCTTGATTGTAGTTTAATGGCCAACTAATTTGCAGAGAGTTGTGGGCTATGGTCTTCCACAATCTCTCCCTCTTCTCTCACGATGAAGAAAAAACCCCAAATAAGCAATATGCCGCGGCCTCCTTCTATTGTCTGAACAACAATCTCTTTCATCTCATTACCCTACATCTCCACTAAAGGAGAATAGATATACGGGCTTCCACATAGGCTTTGTACATCCAAGTGGGCTGAACCATATGAGACTTATTGGGCTCTCCATAGAGGAGGGAACCAGCCCAATAAATCTCCCCCTCCCAACTATGTGGAAGGATCCACCATACCCGCTGACCTTCTGCAGAACTCATGCTTCTCTTTAGGAAAGGCTTTAGTCATCAAATTTAATCTATTTTTGTCAGTATGGATTTTCTGATGTACCAGCAACTTCTCTTCAAGGATATCTCGAATCCAATAATTCCTCACATCTATGTGCTTTGATCTTCAGTGGAAACTTGGATTCTTGCTTAAGTGAATTGCACTTTGACTGTCGCAATGTAACAGATACCTCTATTGCTTAAATCCCAATTCTTGTATGAATCTTCTTATCAATAACATCTCTTTGCAAGCCTCAGTTGCAGCAATAAATTCAGCTTCTGTAGTAGAGAGAGCAACACATTTTTGCAGCTTGGATTGCCATGGCACAGCTCCCTCAGCAAAAGTAATCAGGTACCCAGATGTTGACTTCCTAGAGTCTGGATCTCCAGCCATATCTGCATCTGTGAAGCCTTCAAACACAGGTTTACCATTACCAAAACAAAGACAGACTCTAGAAATACCCTTTAGATACCTGAGAATTCATTTCACTACTGCCCAATGTTCTTTCCCAGGGTTGGAAAGAAATCTGCTCACAACTCCAATATCATGTGCTATGTCTGGCCTTGTACACACCATTGCATACATTAAACAACCCACGGCTGAAGCATAAGGAACTCTCTCCATTTCTTCTTTCTCTTTCTCATCATCAGGACTTTGCTTAGAAGAGAGCTTGAAATGGTTAGCAAGAGGAGTTCCAACTTATTTTGCTTTGTCCATGTTGAACCTTTCAAGCACTTTTTCAACATATTTTTCTGTGATAGCCACAACCTCTTAACCCTCCTATCACGGGTAATCTTCATGCCAAGAATTTGTTTTGCTTTCCCCAATTCTTTCATTGCAAAAGACTTTTTCAACTCTTTCTTCAATTTATTGATTTTATTTTCGGTCAACAACCATTGCAAAACCCTAGAATGCATTTTTAAGCCGCATACACATAGCTAAGTTGTTCCGTCTATATATAGCGAACCAACTGATACTCGTCTCTCTCGTCGGAGAAGTGATGAGCAACTTCATACCGGTATGTCATGATTCATATATATATATATATGACCAGCATGTTTCTCATAAGTTGATATATTTGCAGCATTAGATTGATTGCATTGGATCTAGTAATTTTGATTAATGCCTGTCTTGGGACAGGCAAAGGAGACTTGCTTCAGCATGTAATTTTGATTATGTTTTTATTATTCAAGGTTGTGACATTTAGGCAAAGCATGTAGTAAAGATTGCATTGTTACTTTTTTGTTTATAGAGAAATGCTAGGTGCAGTTGTTTGGCGACTATGGTAGCAACTTGCCGCACAAGTGGATCGAAGCTTTACACTATTTGAGTTTTTTATTGTAAACAAAAAATTAAACTGAGATGCCCTTTCATGCTATTCTTAGAATCCTTAGTAAGAAATTATTAGGTGGTTTGGGACCATATGGTCTTTGCTAATTACAAAATGCACCAAATGTGTCAGCATCTTGTGATTGACCAGGACCAAATGATTCCGGACTACCTAATAATTTCTATATCCTCAATCTTTATATATAAAACTTTATCAAGATCTACACATGGCATTCAATGTGAAAAATGATTCTTAGGCCTATTTGTTAGGCCAATTTGTCTATCTCAAGGATTCTTATTCCTTTGATGTAGTGGATAGGACTCACATTTGAGTTTATTCACCTCCCTTAACTTCACAATAATCAACTACACTTATTTTTCATTAGTCCTACAAGAAAAGTGCTAAAACACTAACAAAAATAATAATAAAATTAATGTTTTACACAATTCTATTATTAATAATAGGCTAATAGCATAGAGTGGATAGATAATAAAGCAAATGAATATTAAATCCATCAGTACACAAATATTCTAGGAATAATGACCTTTTTAATGATATTCTTTTTGAAGTCAGACACTTTATGCTGTTATTTGCTAACTTATTTGACTAATGCCATGCACTCCTACATTAAAAGAAATTATTATAATTCTTGAAAATCACATTAAATGCCATGAGTCTTCTAAACTATTTTATGTTTGATAATATCTTTTAGAAATAATATTTGATTAATTATTGTAAATTTAAAACCCTGTTATTGGATTTGGTTGGAAGGTAGAATTTAGAGAGAAAGTGAAGAGTGAAACACAGAATGAAAGTGTGTTGAGCTATCTTTTAGAAATAATATTTGATTAATTATTGTAAATTTAAAACCCTGTTATTGGATTTGGTTGGAAGGTAGAATTTAGAGAGAAAGTGAAGAGTGAAACACAGAATGAAAGTGTGTTGAGCTATCCTTTACAACATTAGTAATGGTGGTAGTATATATTTAATTTATCAAATTGAAAGGGCATGTCAATTTTGAACTTTTGTTTTATTCATAAACTCAAAGTAAGGTGCTTGTGTTCTAACTGGTGTTGCGAGTGTGATGGCACTGTTGTTAAGCGATTGTGGCTAGCATTTCTCTTATTTATAATGCAAAATTCTATGAACATCTTTGCCTTATTTTTAGATTTGTGCTTTCCTTGATATTGTGGATTTTAATTCTATTTAAATATAAGCCAATTTGATATGTTAGTCTCAATGTCACTACTTAAAACTGTTTGTAACGACATTAAAAATGGATCAGGATACATAAAGTTGAAAATCCTCGAAATTCTCTTATGTTGAATCATTTTGTGTTTATCCATTATCCATTTATTCTTAATGCTATTGTGACATAATGCCTCTCCTTTCCCCAAGGACAGAGATCTGAGTAGGATCAATTTATTGATGGCTTTGTTCTGAAGGCAAATGATAGTCTCATCCAAACTCTTGGCGGTTCAATTTTATCTGGAGTTTGTGACCTTCCTTTTGTGGCTCCCCTTTCTTTGTTAATTTTTTAATAGATAGTATATGATTCTCTTGCTTTTTTTGTCTTTATTATATAAATATCAGTAATTTTTAGTAAAAACATTTATATGTGTCTACATTCTACTCATAGTTGCTGAAAGTTGGAGTAATATGGGAAATCTTGAAGCTTTTTAGTTTGTCAATTAGCCTTAGTTTTGGATAATATGATGCTAGATGTTGGTTTTGGAGGATATAATGCTAAATATTAGTTTGAAGAATATACTGCTAAATGATTATGTTTAATGCTTATCACCATACTAGTGTTTTGGTAAGTTTCCGTTTTGTGTGGTTGCTTGGTTTGGAAACATTTGTTTCCAAGATATAGGTAATAATTTTTGGAAAACGTTGTCTCCATGAATCTATCTTAGTAGCCTACTATACTCTCGGTTATGACAATTGGGGAAATATTGTCTTCACATTTTCTTTCACCTTTATTTTCTATCTCGTTGCCAATCAAAATGATCTTTGTCTTTATGTGTTTAAGAATTTATGTTACGTGGACTCGGATAGGTGTGAAGGGTTCTGGGATGTGTTTATTTATTCCTTTTTTTTTTTCTGTGTTTTTTTTTTTTTAACTAGTTACCCTCATTTTTATAAGCACTAGCTCGACTTACACCCAAGCACATCTCTGCAGATGATATTGTCCGTCTCTAAAATGCATTTTCAAGTGGCGGCATATCTAGCTCAGTTGTTCTTGTCATGGGAGTAATAACGTCATTCCGGAGTGTAATAATAATGATAATGTCTATTTAGCGATGATTTTGTGGTTCTTATATATCTGTGTGTGTGTGTGTGTTTGACTCTCCTTTCAGCTGCAATGGCATAGATTTGATGATCTGTTTCTTGGTCTTTCTTGGTTGCTTTGTTCTGGAGGCATATATTCAATCCCCCAAAGTTTTAGGTGTTTATTATTAACTAGAGTTGTTTTTGCTACTTTGGTCTCCTCCCCTTCTTTGGTAAATTTCCATACTAGATTATTTTTCTTTTCTTTGTTAGCTTTGTACTCTGTTTGGTTTTTGCCATTTTTAAATCTAATACAAGTTTTCTATATCTTCTCGTCAACCATAGGAAGCATAAGGGTGACATGGACATTAAAACAAATGAGTTCTAAATCCAACCGTACCCAAATATTCTATGGGAATAGCTTTTTTAAAAGTGTATTGACACTTTGGCTATAATCATAAATTTGCAAAATTTTACCAATATGTAGCACTCCTAAATGCCAAGTCTAATTAAATTAAATGCCTCATTAAAAGAAATGATGGTAATTCTTATAAAAATCAAGATAGAGTTCTTTTTTTAGATTAATACAATAACATATCCTATCATATTTCGCAATATCATTTTTACTGCCCGCGTTCGAGATTCAAATCATAATAAATTAATGTTTTTGTGTTCATGAATAATTGTAAAAACAAAGGAATCAACTCAAACATGGTTTTAATTCAATGATTTTGGGGGAAAATACAAATATTTGTTTTTATAACCCCCATGTTATGAATACTCGTCAAATACAAAGACAACTCACTTACACCTCACTTCCCATGCACTTGCGCACGTAGGATCAACTCCGTATTCTTTTACTTACTTTGTAAACTAATCGTAACACTCCTGGCTATTCATCACTTTTTTTATAGGAAAAATTACATATAAATAGAGTCAAAGTTCCATATTTACTTAAAGACTGAGTTAAAGTTTTATATTTTTCTAAAATAGATTGCTGAGGTGGCACATGGTTTTTTACTGTTTAAAAAATTGTGGTGCTTAAAATGCCCTTCCCTAACAAAAAAGTAGTACCTTTAGTTCAAAAAAGTAGTACCTTCAGTTCGAAAAAGTAGTACCTTCGGAGAAAAAGTAGTACCTTCGCGAGTGTTTAAAAAACATGGTACCTGGATGTCAAAAAGTAGTACCTTCAGTTCAAAAAAGTAGTACCTTCGAAGAAAAAGTAGTATCTTCGCGGAAGGGTATTTTAGGCACCACAATTTCTAAACAGTAAAAAATCATGTGCCATCTCAATAATCCATTTCAGAGAAATATGGAATTTTGACTCAGCCTCTAAGTAAATATGGAACTTTGACTCCATTTATATGTAATTTTCCCTTTTTTATAATTACTATGTCTGATACACCTTTTATCTCCCTTTCTATTTCTATCTCTACAATGACCCGTTTTCTTTCCTTCTCTCATTATATTTACATATATATCAACCTTCTCTCTACACCACCCGCGACCTCATTTCCCTCTCTGCTACAGTACTTACCGTACAACACAAAAAAATCTTTCTTTTTTTTTTTTTCCCACCCTTCCATCTCTTCGCGTGATCACAACTCAGCCCTTGACGAGCAGCATGTTAATTTTACATCTTTTAGTTTCTTTTTCTTGATTTTGTACTTTTAAAAAAAAAAAAAATTTATTTCTAGTTTTATTTTAGCATGAGACCGATATAGCATTGAAATTTTCTTGATACATTCTTAAAGATTCTGAAAATATATTTTTTTTTCTTCCTCCCTCATTTCCCTTCCCTCCAATTAAACACGAAAAAACTCTTTTATCCTTCCTCTCATCCATCTTTCCTCAATCCTTCCCTCTAATAAAAAATAACATAAATTCATCCATTAAACAAAATATGTACAAAACAAGGACTAAAATTTTATAGGAACCAGTAAAAGTCACGATTGATATGTACTTTTTTTTTTTAGTTAAACGGTAAGATTGTATAAATGAAGAAAGAATGTACATTGGGTACCAAAGGGCAACACAAAGCCCAAAGACAACAAACAACATAAGAGCTGACAAGAACAAAAACTAATAGCCATCACACAGACCAAACCAAAAGGAGCAAAAACTGAATATAATGATCAGCTAAGAAGTGATTAAGCAGATTTGAAGCTGCATCCTTGCATGAATAGATGTTGTAGATCTTCCCAGCTAAACAACAATGAAAGGTTAGTAGAGTATCTTAGTTTAATTGAGGCTAGTCTTCCTCTAGTGCAGTTTCTGATCTGCTTGATGATAATATAAGGAGGTGAGGACCTGTTTCTGAAAGCTCTTGAATTTCTTTCTAACCAGATGAAATAGACAGTAGCTAAGAGGAGCAGTTTGTGCAGTAAAAATCTTTTATAACTCTAATTTAAGGTACACCAAGAAAAAAGATCCTGCCAGCAATTTGGTTTGATGAGAATCCTGCAATATGTTGAACGAACTTCCAAATTTCCTTAGAGAATTTACACTTGAAAAAGAGGTGATCTAGAGACTCCTCGCTAGCTAAGCAAAGGCAGTAAGCATTGATGTAATGCTTCTTAAGCATTGGTTTATAATTAAAAGTATATAACCTTCTTCTTATAGCAAGTCAAACAATGAAATAATGCTTGGGGACATGATGTTTAAACCAAATGATCCAGTGCCATGGAACAAAAGATACTGGCAGGTAGTAATTGATGGTATGTGAAAGGGAGAATGTTTTAGTTGGTGATGGTAGCCATAGTGCATCGTCTGGTAGAGTGGATGGAAGAGGCAAGTTGTGTAACTAGGAGAGAAAATTCTGGGATTGGAAAAATGAGATATGAGCTAAGGAATATGGGACAACCCATTGGCAACTGGAAATTAGACTATCAACTTTGATAAATCTATCTAGTTGAAAAGTTTTCACTTCAATGAGGTTGAAATGTGAAGTAATAGGGCCATTGGGTAACCAGTTGTCTAACCACAACATAATATAAGTGCCATTACCCACACTATGCATTAGAATCCCTCTTGCCATATCCCTTAACTTTAAAAGCCTTCTCTAGAAGCCAGAATTTAGTGCAAATGCCTTTACAGTCCAAAAACTCCATGTCTTAATCAAGTACTTGTAGCACCAAACAACCCACAAACTTTCTTTCCTTCTATCAAATAACCTACAATTGTACTTTAAATTTGTAATTATATTTGATATTTCTAGATTTGGAAAGCCAATACCACCAAAGGGTTTTGGTCCACATACCATGTCCTAAGCCACCATGGCCCCTGAATTCTTTAACTCCACACCAGACTACAAAAAACACCTCAGAACTTGGTTCACTTGATCAATCACCTTCTTGGGAAGGACAAATGTCTGAGCCCAATAGGATTGAATAGAACATATAATGGACTTAATTAGCATTGACCTACCTACAAAAGATAAAAATCTAGAAGTCCATATCTTAATTCTAAAGGTGATGTTTTCCACCAAATATTGACAGCTAATAGCATTAATTGCTTTATAGGACAATGGTAAATCCAAGTATGTCATAGGCAAAGTCCCAGTTTCAAAATTAAGAAGAGCTAAAATGTTAGCCTTAGTTTGGCTATCTACCCCAGCAAAGAAGGCAAGTCTCACGGAAGAGTTGATACTTAATCCTAAGAGAATGAAGAACCTATTAAGGGCATCAAAGTGTTACGACCCAAATCTGTAGGATCCGAGTGATGAATTCGGAAGGGATACAAACCGGGCTCTTACTCGAGCCCCTAAACCAACTACAAATAAAATGGTCATTCCAAGACAAGTGAGAGGAGTGATTTGACTCTAAATGAGTCAAATGGGCTCCATTCAGGTCATCAAAGACATTCAAATCCATTCCATAGGGTTCTAGATGCAAGAACATTATTTTCCCACAAATAAGCCTATTCGGTTTAGGAGATTTTCGGAATAATCTTTACTAAAATGATCATAACTTCTTAAACGGTTGGAATTTTGGAATGGGGTTGGTACCATTGGAAATTTGACTCAAAATTCTTGATATTGAACTCAAATTTGGCCCAATTTAGAGTTAAAATGAAAAAGTTATAGCCTTCTAAAGTTGGAAAAATTATGCTAGTGAATAGAAATTTCAATCTTATAAAATTGGAGTTTTAGTCCGCTGAAACTTGAGTTTCATTCGGCTACAATTCTAATTGTATTCAGTTGAAACTCCATGGGAGTGGAATTCAAGATTCAACTCTCAGTTTCTCACCATTTGTGTAACGACCCACACCTGGGGGTTCGGATCGCTAATCGGGTCTTGACCCGACCCATAAACTTTCAAGGGTAAAATGGTTAATATGACCCATACAAGGCATTAAGAGCCTACATGAAATCCTAAGAGCCAATTCTAACCATATTGAATCACTTTTGAATAAAAAAATCTACCCGATCACTATTTGGGTCACTTAGGGTTAAAAGGGTAAATCGGTCTTTTTGGACTTTGCAACTCATTAGGAAGCGTATAACTGTCTTCTAGGACATATGTGGTCACTTAGGATCTTTTAGAAATGAAAGAAAACTGCCTGATTCAAGGCCGCCCAATTTAGGACTAAAAAAGGCAAAAATGTTTTGTAAGTAAACGTGGCCACTTTGAATCGCACCGATTTTCACTTCAACATTTTCACTAATGGTGTAATACCCCATAAATAAGTATTATATATATATATATAGGAGATTACTGAAAAGGAGATAGGAGATTGTATTTAAAATGAGATAGGAGAGTTATCATTGGGTTTATTTTGAAATTTAAAATAGTTCTCATTGAATTTAACCACGGGATATATATATATATGTATATATCTAGACTTAGTTGTATTCAATTTTTACCTACGTTGCTATCCTGATAATTTTTACGCGTTTATTGTTGTGAATTGAAAAAAAATTTAAACTGTGATTGTAATTCAGGCAAGTTAAATTTTACTTGTAATTTTGTATTTATTTATGTTTTAATTGTTAAATTATTATGTATAATTTAATTGTAGTATTTATGATAATTATTTTTAATTAGATATATTGGGTCTTGATTTGTGGGATTCCTAAATTATTATTTTAGTGGATTATTGGGCTGCTAGAAGGCGTAGGTGGCAAAATCCAATGGGGGCTAAGTTGATAGCATATGCCGAGATATACGGTTTTGACTCCATCAATGTTGTCTTTACTTTATCAATGATTTCTTTCGGCCTTTATTTTTTCTTTTACCTTGTTTGATCACGTGGGTGGGTTAATTTTATGGGAATTGATGAGAGTTGATGTATATCTATTGATGTGGGTTCAGTGGGTGTAATGGAAAGAAGGAGAAGTAACAGGCTGGCCGAAAGTGGGAGAAAAAAAAAAATTAGATAAAATTGTAATGATAGTGGCAGGGCCCACTTGAAGTGTTTTTTTGACCAAAATTCTTTGGCTTTGGCTGACCATGTGGATGACGTGATTTGTTTGTGTTTTGTTGGTTTAGGACAAGTGGTATACTGCTAGTAATACATGTTAGTAAAGTTTTATTAGATTGCTAGTTACGTCAGTAATTGTGTTAATGTGACTAACAATAATATATATTGTTAGTTAATTTACACAATTTACACGATATGGATTAATTGATATCTATTAATTTATTATTTTTTATTATACTTTTTTAATACATTTAATATTTTGAGTAAAAAAAAATTTAAAACATATTTATTTTTTTGTTTGCTTGTATTTTTTAAAATGATTACTTTTTCAACCACTTGATATATTTTTTATTATATATTGCTATATTTTAGTCACGGCATGGGTTAATTGATATCTATTATTTTTGTTTATATTTTTTAAAACAGCTACTTTTTCAACCACTTTAATTTTTTTTTTTTTTTTTTTTATATATTTGAATAGAATACTTCATTGAATACATTTAAATTAATATATTTTTTCATAATTAAATAAATCAAAAATACATTACATATTTTCTCACAATTACATAAATAAAATAAATAAAAAGACATTACATATAATCTCACAATTACATAAATAAAATAAAAAAAGACATTACATATTTTCTCACAATTAAATAAATAAAATAAAAAGACATTGCATATTTTCTCACAAATATAAATAAATTACATATGACCACCACCTTCATTTAGTTTATTCAAAATTAGATTCTGTTATTGAATGATCCATGCCTTTGTTGCTTCTGTTGGAGCTTTCGATGGATCTTGACACATTATATCTCTTTCAAACTCCATTTCAGTCATCCTTTCTCTTGTTTTTATTTCTAACTGTTTAGTCCGTTCTTTCTCAAAATTTGATTCTATCGCCAGCTGCTTAATTCGTTGTTTCTCCATGGAAAGTTGAAATCTCATTTGCTCTCCTTCCACACCTGCTTCACCAAACATGACGCCTTGTGCTATTACAACTTCCAATTGTTTAAGAATACTTGCTTCAAGATATGGCGTTTTCTTTTTACGAATCTTCCTTACTTTTTGTCCCTTGGGACGTGACATATTCGAACCTTCAGTATTGACTGGTGTATCGTCATCACCAAGATTTACCGACCCTAGAGTTGATATTGTAGGAGTTGATGAACCTGGTGCTGTTGGAGTAGATTCAGACCAATTTCTTGGCTCATTAATATCAAGATCAACACCTCTTTTCATTGGTCGTCTAGTTGGATTTTCGTTAACGTTGCAATGCATCTGCCATTTTTCCGAATCCCGAAGAACATTCCAACAATGCTCATATTTAAATTTTTTTTTCTATTGAAGTTTATATAGTTCTCTTACAGCATTCATCTATAAAAAATAAATAATCATTGAAATTAATAAGTTGGATTAAAATTAAGAATAAAAAAATATTGTACAAAGTAAAAACTTACCATATCATACTCGTTGTAACCACTGATTGGATTGTCGTGGACATTTTTGTAGTATCCTGAAAATTTGTTTACATCACGTTGAAAGTTTGAAAAACGGTTCATCAGAGCACCGTATGATCTTTCTTCAGTTATCTTGTCTCCCAAATTGCCTAACCCAATGAGCCTGAATTCGTTGCCACAATGTACCCATACTTTGATTTGTACCCGTCACTGGATTTTCACCAATCATGATCCATGCTTTGCATAATGCTATATCTTTCTTCAGTAAGGGTAACAAAATGGATTTTGACTTTGAGGTGTGTATTCTGGATAAATTTGGTTTTGGAATTGGGGCTGAGATGTATATTCAGAATGGATTGGATCTTGAGAGTGCCACCCAGAATTGAATTGAGGTGGTATTTCGAAGTTTCCATATTGGTTAAAATGAGGGTTGTTGAATGGAGGTTGCTGATCCATTGAATGTCGAAGGATGATGATTTAGTGAAATGAATGTTGAATGATGAGAGAAATGAGTGTTGAATTTTGAGTATTGAGTGAAATGAGTGTTGTATTTATAGAGATTATTGTATACCCAACGACTATATTCTCAACGGCTATATTCCAACGGCTATATTCCCAACGGCTATATTCCAACGGCTATATAAACTACTAATTTAGTCTTTTGTAATTGCTCAAGCCCATTTTCTCTTCCTTCATTCCTCAAGTCCATATTTTCTCTTATTTGATTCCTTTACCACTTTTTGTCTTCTCTGAATTCTCAACTTTTATATAAGAAAAAAAATTGCATCATCATCACAATCTTTTCAAATCTCCGAATCTGATTCTTCAGAAAATTCGTCAAATTCTAATCGGGATACGGTTTATCAATTCCATCAAAAAAGGATCAAAATGATTCTGGGTATTTTTACGCCTGAGAATCTAAAAGCATTATTTTAACCAAAGAAGAGACGATATATTAAACGTGATCGGGAGGATGCAACACAACAACTCTGGAAAGATTACTTTGCCAAAAATCCTGTGTTTCCACCTGAATACTTTCGTAGACGGTTTAGAATGCGACGACAGTTGTTTCTTCGCATTTTGAACGATATTACAACTCATGACAACTTCTTTAAATAGAAGTCCGATGCTACTGGTCATATGGGGTGCACCCCTATACAGAAGATGACAGCAGAAATACGTATACTTGCCTATGGAATTTCAGCGGATCTTTGTGATGAGTGCATAAAGGTTGGAGAGCGCACTGCGATCGAAAGCTTGAAGAGATTTTGTGATGCTGTAATTGCATTGTATATGGAGCAGTATCTACGTTTACCAAACGAAAGCGACATTGCACGTTTACTTCAAGAAGGGGAAGAAAAAGAATTCCCAGGTATGCTTGGCTCTATAGATTGTATGCATTGGGAATTGAAGAATAGCCCTAAAGGGTGGCATGGTACACACAAGGGGAGAGGTCGTAAGTCTACCCTCATATTGGAAGCAGTTGCATCAAAAAATCTATGGATCTGACATGCTTTCTTTGGTATGGCTGGTTCACACAATGTCGTGAATGTCTTAGATCATTCCCCAGTATTCAATCGTATCATTAATGGTACAATGCCTCCAGTTAATTACGAGGTGAATAGACATCACCGTATGTTGGGGTATTACCTATCTGATGGTATATACCCTAAGTGGACAACTTTGATTCAAACCATCCGCACGCAACTACTGAAAAGGAGAAATTGTTTGCTCAAAGACAAGAAGTCATTAGGAAGGATGTTGAACGGGCATTTGGTGTGTTGCAGATAAGGTGGGCTATAACGCATGGACCAGTATATTATTGGAAGAAAGAAGACCTGAGCAAGATAATGAGAACGTGCATCATATTGCATAACATGATCATAGAAGACGAGGGCGACACTAACATTTTGGAATGGACACCTCCAATGGATGAGTTGGTCTACCTTCCACAATACAATCGAGACCGATCATTTTTGGCAGCACACATCTCCACTCGCCTCAGCAGGATTCGCAATGTAGAAAACAATGGAGATCTCAAGAGAGATCTTATGGAGCATTTGTGGAATAAATTTGACAATGAAGAGGTTTTAACGATAATATTGAGTAAATTGTATTTCTTCATATTGTATGTTTGTGATGAATAAAATATTATTTTACAATTTTTTTTTCTTATATATTTGTTGACAAATTTTAAAGAAAAAAAAAATCAAGATCATAAAAAAATAAAAAAAAAACCATTTCTAACAATATGATATTTTGTTTTCAAAAATTCATATATATTTGTTGACAAATTTTTTTAAATTTTTTTTCAAAAGACTAAGAAATAGAAATCATAAATATTTATTTCAAAATAAAAAATAAAATAATCAAAATCATAAATTTATTTTTTACAATAAAAATAAATTACATATAAAAAGAAATAGTAAAGAAAAAACCAAAAAAAAAAAAAAAAATAAGGAAAAGAGCCGTTGCTTGTGGGCCAAAGAAAAAAAAAAAAAAAAAAAACAAAACAAAAAAAGAAAAAGGGACAAGAGCCGTTGAATTGAATTGAGGGCGTGGGGTTTGTCTGGCTCGCAAAGGACATGTTACCAGTTGCGATGTCCTTTGCTAGTTTTCCTGTGGGTCCCAGAATTTGCTAGCTTCATACCGATTCACATACTAGCAAAATTGACTCAAGAGCTCGCAAACAAGCCTTGTCCCAGTTGCTCTTACAAAAGGTAGATTTGGGTTCAGTTGTATACAGAGTATTATATATATATATATATATAAAATGTAGGTTTTGTCTCATGGGTATTATGAGGAAAATAGAGAAATACAAAGGAGGAAGAAGGATGCAGAAAAGGCTTTATTTAATTTTTGTCAGTAGTGTAGAAAAGGCTGAGGAAAGGCATGTGAGTTATTGGTTAGATGATTGCATGTAATTGGGTACGGAATGGAGGGAAATAAACTTTAACAGAGTAGGTTGAAATTTTAAATATTAGTTTACAACTAATTATAATTAGGACTATAAGTTGGTACTTATATGTTGGTATTTATTTAGTATTTAATTAATTATTAATTAAGGTGTTTGATAAATTCATGATATTATTAGTAATAATTATTTAAATGTATTTAGTATTTAATTGAAGTGATTAAATTAGGTGGAGTGATAATTTGGAACTTATTCAATGGTGAGTTTGTTGAGCGCGGTCAGAAATTGTCTACGGTCATGAATTACTTTTTTGTTATGGCTATTGAGTTAAATGTACTCTTAGTATGGGACGTGGTCAGGGACCATCTGGGTGAATAGTCGTCCAATTTAGCCACATGTGAGATTTTAGTATAAGACAAGAGTTCTTGTTTTATTAGGAGTAAAAAAAGAGTAAACAACATAAATTATTGCGGTTGATTATTAAGTTTTATTTTCATTAAAAAAAAAATTTTCAATTAAATTTCAATTTTTGTGGTGTAATTTTTTATTTATCTGGAGAGCGAAATATTGTGAGATTTATATTTCATATGGTAGAAAATAATTTTTATTATTTGGTACAAGAGAAATTAAAAAGAAGAGTTGAAAGTGAGAATAAAGGAAAAATATAAATACAGTATATATTATTTAAGATGTTTAATTTTTTCTTGCAATAGTGATAAACAATATATATATTTTCTATTTCCGAAGTGTCACCACGATTCTTTTACTCTCATTATTTCCAAGCATCAGGTTGACGCGTACCCGACGCAACCGCTAGTAGACGGTATTTTCGGTCAACAAATGCAAAACCCTAGAATTCATTTTTTAGCCGCAGAGACACACCTAAGTTGTTCGGTCGATATATATAGCAAACCAAATGATACTCGTAAATCTCTCTCTCGTGGGGAAGTGACGAGCAACTTCACACCGGTATGTCATAATCTCATATATATATATATATATATATATATATGTATGTATGTATGTATGTATGTATGTATGTGTGTGTGTATTTATCTGTGTAGATTTTGCCTCTCCTTTAAGCTGCTAAGGCATAGATCTGATGATCTGTTTTCTTGATGGCTTTGTTGTAGAGGCATATATTTAATCTCCAAAGTTTTAGGGGTGTGTTTAAACCAAGGGCGGATCCAGTATTTGGTGGGCTAAATCAAAATATATCAACCAAAATCAACTGTTGTTTAATTCAATTCTAGTTAATTAACAACGTTTCTTTAGACAATTGACTGATTAAGGCACAGAAAATCCTATTTGAGAATCTACGAGTGGAAGCAGAGTGTGAGGTAGTTCAAGGCAAGCCCCTTTCAACACTATGAAATTCACTCAAAAGCATGCTTTTTGTAAGTATTTTAATTTTCAAGAAGTAACTTTAGAGCTTTACCCTATATTAACTACTTTTGCTTGTCGAAGTTCTTGTTATGATTTTTATTTTTTTAGTTCTGAAAAGATTTTTATCTTTAAAAAGCTTGGCATTTTGATAAAAATTGTTTCAGATTCAATCTCTGCAGATTTCTAATCCAATTCAGATTCTTTTTTTTTTTTTTTTCATAAAAAATTTCACCAAATAGGATTTAGTTTGCAAAACAAGAATTACAGAGCTTGATTAGTTGATTTAGAAAAAAAATTAAAACAAAACCCATACATACAAGTTAGCAGTTGCAGAGAGAGAGAGAGAGGGGCAAGCTTGAGAGTTGAGAGACAGCGGCTGAAGCTTGCGAACGGCGAACCCGAACTGGAACAGTCAATTGTCTAAGGAAACGTTGTTATATATGGGTTTTGAACTTCTGATTCTTGTAGATTTTGTAGTTTGCAGTTGCAGAGAGAGAGAGAGAGAGGGGGCAAGTTCAGAGTTGAGAACGATATTTGAGATGGAGGCTGAAATGATTTGTCCTAAAAAATTTATTTCCCTGGTGGCCCATCATCCAAGAGCCTATAAATTTTGAGGCCCGAAGCCTATGTTGCCTTGGGTCAGGGCCGGCCCTGGGGTTATTTGGCTTGGGCCTTTATTTTAGTATGGTGGCTGAGTTGACTGGGGCTTGATTGGGTGGGCTATTAATAAGTTTTTTTCATGTGGATCTGTTCTTGGTTTAAACCAGAGCTGTGGTTCTTGCTACTCTGGTCTCCCCTTATTTGGTACATTTCCATTAGAAAATTAATTTATTTTGCTTTTATGTAGTAGCTTTGTGGTCCGTTTGGTTGCCTAGATATTGATATTGCATGAAATTAATATTTATACTAATTTTATATATAAACAGAGTTGGTTTGGCTTGTTTTAGATCGTCTTCTTGGCAAACCATACGAATTCTACGAAGCATATGATTAATATTGATCTTTTGTCTTGATGTCTTCCCTAAAACAATTTTGTTTTTCATAAGTTATATATTTGCAGCATTAGTTTGATTGCATTGGATCTATTAATTTTGATTAAATGGTGGTCTTGGGACAGGCAAAAGAGACACTTGCTGCAGCATGTAATTTTGATTATGTTTTTATTATTCAAGGCTGTGACATTTAGGCAAAGCATGTAGTAAAGATTGCATTGTTACTTTTTTGTTTATAGAGAAATGGTAGGCGCAGTCGGTTGGCAACTATGGTAGCAACTCGTTGCACAAGTAAATGGAAGCTTTACACTATTTGAGTAATTTATTGTAAACAAAAAATTAAATTGAGATGCCCTTTCATGCTATTCTTAGGTGGTTTGTGACTGTATTTTTGTCAATCACAAAATATACCAAATGTGTCGGCATATTGTGATTGGCTGAGACCACATGATTACGTACTACCTAATACTTTCTAGATCCTCAATATCTTTATATACCTAATACTTTCTTGATCATCAATATCTTTATATATGAAACTTTTTCAAGATCTACCGATGGCATTTTTTTTTTTTTTTTTTTTTTTGATAAGTAAGTTCTACACATGGCATTTTTTTTTGAGTTTATCCACCACATCAAAGGAATAAAAAACCCTCAAGCTTGACAGTTCAGCTTAACAAATAAACCCCTCAGGCTTCAGTTCAGCAACTTCACTTATTTTTCATTACTTTTATACAAGAAAAGTACTAAAACACTAAAAAAAATAATAATAATAAAATTAATGTTACTATTATTAATAGTAGCGTGGAGTGGATAGATAAAGGCTATAGTCTCTAGTTTACTTTCGTCTCTAGTTTACTTTTCTTTATCTTTGATTATTAAGTTTATTTTTAAGTTTTAAAAATTATTTTCATTTAAATTTCTACTTTTGTGGTCTAATTTTCTATTTTATTTGGAGAGTGAAATAGTGTGAGATTTTTGTTGCATATGGTAGGAAATAAGTTTTTATTATTTGGTACAGGAGAAATTGAAAGGAAGAGTTGAAGAGAATAAAGGAAAAATATAAATTAAATACATTAGTTAAAATGTTTATCTCTTTACTATGATTATTTACAACATCCAAGCATTAGGTTGACGAATACCCGAAAACAATCGCTAGTAGGCGGTATTTTCGGTCAACCATTGCAAAACCCTATAATGCATTTTTAAGCTGCATACACATAGCTAAGTTGTTCTGTCTATATATAGCGAACCAACTGATACCTGTAAGTCTCTCTCTCATCGGGGAAGTGATGAGCAACTTCATACCGGTATGTCATAATTCATATATATATGTTTATATATGTATGTATGTATATATTTGTGTATATTTTGACTCTTCTTTCAGCTTCCGAGGCATAGATCTGATGATCTGTTTCTTGATGACTTTGTTCTAGAGGCATATATATAATCTCCAAAGTTTATGGAGTTTAAACCAGAGCTGTGGTTCTTGCTACTCTGGTCTCCCCTTATTTGGTACATTTCCATTAGTAGCTTTGTGTTACCTAGATATTGCATGAAATTAATATTTATATTAATGTTATATCTAAACAGAGTTGGGTTGTCTTTGTTTTACATCCCCATTAATTTTCTAAGTCTTCTTGGTAACCATATGAAGTATAAGATTAATATGGATCATTTGTCTTGATGTCTACCCTAAAACCATCATGTTTCTCATAAGTTTATATTTGCAGCATTAGTTTGATTGCATTGGATCTAATAGTTTTGATTAATGCCTCTCTTGGGACAGGCAAAAGAGGGACTTGCTTCAGCATGTGATTTTGATTATGTTTTTATTATTCAAGGTTGTGACATTTAGGCAAAGCATGTAGTAAAGATTGCATTGTTACTTTTTTGTTTATAGAGAAATGTTAGGTGCAGTTGTTTGGCGACTATAGTAGCAACTTGCCGCTCAAGTGAATCGAAGCTTTACACTATTCGAGTCTTTTATTGTAAACAAAAAATTAAACTGAGATGCCCTTACATGCTATTCTTAGAATCCTCAGTGAGAAATTATTAGGTGGTTTAAGACCATATGATCTTTGCCAATCACAGGATGCACCAAATGTGTCGGCATCTTCTGATTGGCCAGGACCACATGATTCCGGACTGCCTAATAATTTCTACATCCTCAATCTTTATATATAAAACTATTTGTTAGGCCAATTTGTCTATCTCAAGGATTCTTTGCCCTTTGATGTAGTGGATAGGACTCACATTTGAGTTTATTCACCAGGGATAAGAACCCCCTTAACTTGACAATAATCAACTTCACTTATTTTTCATTAGTCATACAAGAAAAGTGCTAAAACACTAGCAAAAATAATAATAAAATTAATGTTTTACATAATTGTATTATTAATAGTAGGCTAATAGCATAGAGTGGATAGAGATGATAAAGCAAATGAGTATTAAATCCATCCGTACACAAATATTCTAGGAATAATGACTATTTTAATGTGTTATTTTTGAAGTGAAGACATTTTATGCAGTTATTTGCAACCTTATTTGACTAATGCCATGCACTCCTACATTAAAAAAATTTATCATAATTCCTGAAAATCACATTAAATGCCATAGTCTTCTAAACTATTTTATGTTTGATAATATCTTTTAGAAATAATATTTGATTATTTATTGTAAATTTAAAACCCTGTTATTGGATTTGGTTGGAAGGTAGAATTTAGAGAGAGAGTGAAGAGTTAAACACAGAATGAACTTGTGTTGAGCTATCCTTTGCAATGTTAATAATGGTTGCAGTATATTTAATTTATCAAATTGTATGTGCATATCAATTTTGAACTTTTGTTTTATTCATAAACTAAGTAAGGTGCTTGTGTTCTTAACTGGTGTTGCGAGTGCTGCTGTTGTTAAGTGATTGTGGCTAGGATTTCTTTGATTCATAATGCAAAATTCTATGAAACATCATTGCGTTTTTAGATTTGTGCTTTACCTGACATTGTGGATTTTAATTTTTTTAAGAAACTAAGCCTATGTTAGTCTCAAAGTCACTACATAAACTGTTTGAAAAAGGATCGGGATACATAAAATTGAAAGTCCTCGAAATTCTCTCAAGTAGAATCATTTTGTGTTTATCCATTTAGTCTTAATGTTGTCGTCACACAAATGCCTCTCCTTTCGGCTGTAAGGACAAAGATTTGCGTAGGGTAGTAACACTCAGATAGGTGTGGCGGGTTTCTGTATCCATTCATTCCGAATCAAAATGATCTTTGTCTATTTATGTTTTAAGAATATATGTTACATGGACTCAGATGTTTTTGTATTTTTTTTTTTTTTTTGTTTTTTCCTTTTCCGAGTAATAGAAAGTGTTTTTTTTTTTAACCCATTTTTCTAAGCACTAGCTCGAATTGTACCCTAGCACAGCTCCTAGCAGACTGTAAGTATAGTTTATTTTAAAAGTTTATTTTACACTGTAGTTGAATCAAGGAGAATAATTACATACCCTCTAAATTATTATTTCAAAGAACCAAATTATCTTTAAATAAAATAGTAGACAATATCATTATAATAAAAAAATGTATATTAATTTTTTTTTTGAGATACAAACCTCGGTTCCACATTAGATGTTCATATAGAGAAATTGTAGTTTTTGAGGGGATATGTATTTAAAGCATTGTCTCTTTTTAAAATTACTTCTAATTTAAATATATATAATTAGAAAGTTTGAAATTTTTTAAAAAGGTAAAGACAATGATGGAAATTTAGAATTTATTTGCTTTAATTTTTTGAAGAGGATAATTATTTTGGGACATGTGAAAGAGAGAAAAATGAATTACGGGTGGAGTATTTCATTTTAGTTGACAGTATCATTTCTGCGGCCTGTAACGGCGTTCTTGATTCAAATTATAATAAATTAATGTTTTTGTGTTTGTGAATTATTGTAAAATTAAAGGAATCAACTCAAACATGGCTTTAATTCAATGATTTTGGGGGGTAAATACGTGGAAATATTTGTTTTTATAAATTGGCTGTTCAAATTTAGATATTGGCTTCTATTGAATTTAATGTGCAAATTTCGTGCCATATCTTGATTAATTATAAAATCAAAATTTCTTCCAAAGTATGATTAATTATTAAAGTATGGTTTAAATTGTTCAAAATAGCTGTTACTGTAGCAATATACTTTTTAATTAATATTAAATTGTTGGAAATAACTGTTACTGTAGCAATATACTATTTAATTAATTTGGCTGAAAGGCTGGAATATTTTTTTGCTCCTCAATTCAATTGTAAGTTTTATGTACAACAATAAATAAATAATAAAAATAAACAAATTTTTTTTTTCAAAATCTGTTATAATGTTTCAAGATTTCTATAAAATTTCGGTGCCTTGTAGTTATGTCCGTTTATGTTTTGTCAGTCTCATACTTGAATAAAAAAGGAAAAGGAAAGAGCATGTAAAATTAACATTTTGTTTTCCCTTGGTTTTCTTGATTTATTGTCTTCATTCCTATTTTTAGTGGTAATAACAATAGAGAGTAGTTTTCTTTATTTAAAAAAAAAAACACAAAACAAAAGAAAACAATTTTTATAAATGGAAATTACTAATTCTTCCTTCTTTCTCTCTCCTCTTTCCTCAATTTTGAATGGATAGAAAATATAAAGCAATATAAAGCAAGTAGTCATTTTCAACCTTTTCAAAAATTATAAAATCCTTTCCCTTCCAACAACCAAAAAAAAAAAACAAAACGTGTCACTCATTCATCTTTAAATAGGTATGAGGAGAAAATATCTAGAAAAACAAAATGGAGAAATCTTAATTTTACATCTTCTAGTTTTTTTTTCTTGATTTTGTACTTCGTTAAAAAATTCTTTATTTCTAGTTTTATTTCAACATGAGACCAATATAGAATTGAAATTTTTTCAGAACATTCTTAAAGAATCTGAAAATAAATTTTGTTTTCTTACTTCCTCCCTCTTTTCCCTTCCCTCCAATTAAACACGAAAAAATTCTTTTATCCTCACTCTCATCCATCCCTTCTCAATCATTCTATCCAATCAAACATAACATAAATTCATCCATTAAACAAAATATGTACAAAACAATGACTAAAATTTTATAGGAATCGGTAAAAGTCACGATTGATATGTACTTATTTTTTTAGTTAAAGGGTAAGTTTGTATAAATGAAGAAAAAATGTACATGGGGTATCAAAGGACAACACAAAGCCCGAAGGCAACAAACAGAACAAGAGTTGAGAAGAACAAAAACTAATAGTCATCGCATAGACCAAACCAAAAAGAGCAAAAACTAAAAGTTGCATTCATGCATGAGATGTTGTAGATCCTCCCAGCTACACAGCAATGAAAGGTCAATAGAGCATCTTAGTTTAATTGAGGCTAGTTTTCCTCTGGTGTAGTTTCTAATCTGCTAAATGATAAGATGAGGAGGTGAGGACCTGTTTTTGAAGCTCTTGAATTCCTTTCTAACTGTATGAAATAGATAGCAGTTGAGAGGAGCAGTTTTTGCAGCAATAATCTTTTAGAACTCTAATTTGAGGTACACCAAGAACTAGATCCTGCTAGCAATTAGGTTTAATGTAGAATCTTGCAGTATATTGAACGAAGTTCTAAATTTCCTCAGAGAACTTGCACTTGAAGAAGAGGTGATCTAGAGACTCCTAACCAGCCAAGCAAAGGTAGTAAGTATTGATGTAATGCTTCTTAAGCATTAGTTTAGAAGTCAGAGTATATAACCTTCTTCTTATAGCAAGACCAGCAATGAAACTATGCTTAGGGACATGATGCGTAAACTAAATGATCTGGTGCCATGTGAAAATAAAAGATGATGGCAGATAGTAATTGATTGTGTGTAAGAGGGAGAAGCTTTGAGTTGGTGATGGTAGCCATAATGCATTGTCTGGTAGAGTGGATGGGAGAGGCAAGTTGTGTAACTGGGAGAGGAAATTATGGGATTGGAAAATGGGATATAAACCAAGGAATATGGGACAACCCATTAGCAATTGGAAATTAGGCTATCAACTTTGATAAATCTATCAAGTTGAAAAGTTTCCACTTCAGTGAGGTTAAGATGCGAAGTAATAGGGCCATTGGGTAACCAGTAGTCTAACCACAACATAATATTAGTGCCATTACCCACACTATGCATTAGAATCCCTCTCGCCATATCCCTCGACTTTAAAAGCCTTCTCTAGAAGCTATAATTTAGTGCAGATGCCTTTACAGTCCAAAAACTCCTTGTCTTAATAAAGTACTTGTAGCATCAAGCAACCTAAAAACTTTCTTTCCTTTTATCAAATAACCTACAAATGTACTTTAAATTTGTAATTATATTTGATATTTTCAGATTTGGAAACTAATACCAACAAAGGGTTTTGATCTACATACCACATCACAGGCCATCGTGGCCCTTGAATTCTTTAATTTCACACCAGACTACAAAAAACACCTCAGAACTTGGTTCACTTGATCAAACACCAGGCATGTAGGCTCCTAATGCCTTGTACGGGTCATAATAACAATCATTTTACCCGTCAATATTTGGCACGGTCTCTATGACCCGTACAAGGCATTAGGAGCCTACATGAAGTCCTAAGAGCCAATTCTATCCATTTTGAATCGCTTTTGAATTAGAAAATTACTCCCAATCACTTTTCGGGGCCACTTAGGGTTACAAGGGTAAATCGATCTTTTTGGACCGTGTAACTCATTGGATAGCTTATACTGTCTTCTAGGACATATGTGGTCACTTATGATCATTTATAATAAGGCCGCCAATTTAGGGTTAAAAAGGGCAAAAATGCTTTGTAGGTAAACGTCGCCATTCCGGATTGCATTGAATTTTGTTTCAACATTTTCAATAAAGGAGTAAACAGCACAAATTATTGTGGTTGATTATTAAGCTTATTTTCATTTAAAAAAAGTTTTTTCGATTAAATTTCTATTTTTGTGGTGTAATTTTCTATTTATTTGGAGAGCCAAATATTGTGAAATTTATATTTCATATGGTAGGAAATAATTTTTATTATTTGTTATAAGAGAAATTGAAAAAATGAGTTGAAAGTGAGAATATAGAAAAAATATAAATACAGTATATTATTTAAGATGTTTGATTTTCTCTTAAAATAGTGATAAAGAATATATATTTTTTCTATTTCCAAAGTGTCGCCACCTCTCTTTTACTCTCATTATTTCCAAGCATTAGGTTGACGCGTACCTGACGCAGCCGCTAGTAGACGGTATTTGCGGTCAACAATCGCAAAACCCTAGAATGCATTTTTAAGCCGCAGACACACACCTAAGTTGTTCCGTCTCTCTCTATATATATAGCGACCCGAATGATGGTCGTAAATCTCTCTCGTGGGGGAAGTGAAGAGCAACTTCATACCGGTGTGTTATAATCCACATATATATATATATATGTTTATATATGTATGTATATGTATTTGTGTATATCTTGCCTCTCCTTTCAGCTGCAGAGGCATAGATCTGATCAGGGCCGGCCCTGGCCCAAGGCGACCAAGGCGGTCGCCTTGGTCCTCTGATTTTAGAGGGCCTCAAGGGATGGAAAATAAAAAAAAAAAAAAAAAAGTTAGGGCGAGTTTCAGACGACACAATCTTCTTCGACACTCCGCAGGGCGCAGCCTCCGCTATCGCCTCAGGTGACAAGGTATGTTCATCTTCTCTCTCTCTTCTCTCTCCTTTTGCATGAATCGATCTTTTATATATGTTTCTTTCTTTCGTTCATCTCATCATTTGATTTGTTCTAACTTTGGTTCGTGTGATTCGGGCCTTTACCTTTGTTCCAATAGTGAAAAGTAGCTAGGGTTTTGTGTGTGTCACTGTGTGTGTGATGGCTATCAAAAGCTGAATGAATATATTATGGTTCTCTTAGTATTTTAATAAATGTGTGCCTTTCTACATGTGTCTTTCATGGCGATCGAGTCCATAATCTATGGCAGGTACTCTTTTTTTCCCTCTCCCTAAGTCCACTCCAATCTCACAACAGCAGCAACCATACCCCTATTCCTCATAATTTTTTGCATTTTCACATTCAATCCCGCGAAAATTAAGGATCCCTTCTAGTGGGTTGAGGTAATAATTAACTTTTTCGATCTCTAAATTATGCTCATACTTAAAAGTGCCAGATTAAGGGTTTTTTATTTTTATTTTATTTTTATATGAAGATACATACCACCATTATTGATGTTATTTGAAGTTGGCTCAGCTAGAATTTCAGTTAATACTGTCAAAGCACTTGCCATCAGAATGTACAAACACATGGAAATCAAGAGCAGGCTTTAACAAAACAAAAGTTAATGGTTTTTTCTATTAATTTGCACAGGTCTTCTGTAGCAGTGATCAATCAATCACTGCGGGTAATTGGCTCCCAAAAAAAACACACACAAAGTGTAGTGTAGTTACTATAAAGAGTGAAAGACAAAACTATATATGAGAGTGGATGCCACATATAAAAGTCCCACTACTTCTTCAGTACTACAAGTTCAGCCTCCTATATACATATATAGTCACCTCATCTCCACATATTTTTGTCATCTGTAATCATCAAATTTTAGTAGCTATATAAACAATGAATGTAAAAGAAGCTGCAATTTTCTGTTCTCTTCATTTTTTGTTTTGTGCCTATAAAAATTTCGCACTCTTTAATTGATAAATTTATTGTTATTAGTTAGTTTTCTTATGCACATTGCACATGCGCACAATTATTTATTGGTGGTGATAAAAATTTATAGTTATTAGTTAGTTGTCTTAAGCACACTGCACAGAGTCTTATGTACGCTATAGGGGAACAATTATTTGTTGGTGGTGATAAATTTATAGTTATTAGTTAGTTGTCTTATGCACAATGCACGGGCACAATTATATTAGCTATAGAATTTGAAAATATCGTGTTAAAATATAGCACTCTTATAATTCTTTTTTGCGTGTGAAACTCAAGGGCCTCACATTTGAAAGTTTGCCTAGGGCCTCTCAAAATGTTTGAAATTTCAGGGCCACTGGATCTGATGATCTTTCTTGATGGCATATATTTAATCTCCAAAGTTTTAGGGGTTTAGTTTAAACCAAAGGCGGATCTAGGATTTCTCAATGGGGTGGGCTAAATCAAGTACTTTTGCTTGTCAAAGTTCTTGTTATGATTTTTTTTTTTTTTTTCACTTCTGAATAGATTTCCATCTTCAAAAAGCTTCGCATATTGATAAAAATTGTTTAAGATTCAATCTCTGTAGATTTCTAATCCAATTCAGAAATTTTTTTCCCTTTTTTCTTTTCTCATGCCCAGATTCAAATTTTCTTGTAGACATAATTGACAAAAAAAAAAAAAAAAAAAAAAAAAAATTGTTTTGCTGAAATAAAATGTAGATTACAGTGATTACCTCAAAATGCAATGCAATGCATATTTTGTTACTTTATATTGTAATATATATGTAAAAGATCATAAAAAATTTCACCAAATGGGATTTAGTGTGCAAAGCAAGAATTACAGCGGCTGAAGCTTGCGAATGGCGAACCCAAACTGGAACAGCGGGCGATGGAAACTGAAAGATATGGGTTTTGATTTTTTGAGCAATCTGAAATGATATGCCGATATGGGTTTTGAATTTTTGATTCTTGCAGATGTTGTAGTTTGCAAGTTCAGAGTTGAGAACGAGAATAATAGAGATGGAGGCATTTGGGGAGGCTGAAATGATTTGCCCTAATTTTTTTTTTCTTTTTCTCTGGTGTCCCATCATCCATGGGCTTATAAATTTGAAGGCCACATGAATTCGCAAGCTTCAGCCGCTGGTCTGCTGTCTCTCAACTATCAAGCTTCTCTGCAACTGCTAACTTGTATGTATGGGTTTTGTTTTAATAATGGGGTGACTGAGTTGATTTGGGCTTGATTGGGTGGGCTAATTTTGGGGTGGGCTAATACTATTAATAAAATTTTATTTTTTTAGGCTGGGCTAAAATTAGTATAGTAAATTTTTTATTTTTTTTAGGTCCGCCCTTGGTTTAAACCAGAGTTGTGGTTTTTGCTACTCTGGTCTCCCCTTATTTGGTACATTTCCATTAGAAAATTAATTTATTTTGCTTTTCTATAGTAGCTTTGTGCTCCGATATTGATATTGCATGAAATTAATATTTATGCTAATTTTATATCTAAACAGAGTTGGTTTGGCTTGTTTTAGATGTCTTCTTGGCAACCGTACGAATTCTACAAAGCATAAGATTAATATTGATCTTTTGTCTTTGATGTCTTCCCTAAAACAATTATGTTTTTCATAAGTTGATATATTTGCAGCATTAGTTTGATTGCATTGGATCAAACTAATGGTGGTCTTGGGACAGGCAAAAGAGACACTTGCTGCAGCATGTAATTTTGATTATGTTTTTATTATTCAAGGTTGTGACATTTAGGCAAAGCATGTAGTAAAGATTGCATTGTTACTTTTTTGTTTATAGAGAAATGGTAGGCGCTGTTGTTTGGCAACTATGGTAGCAACTCGTTGCACAAGTGAATGAAAGCTCGACACTATTTGAGTAGTTTATTGTAAACGAAAAATTAAACTGAGATTCCCTAATAGGTAGTACACCCACATTAAAATAAATGATCATAATTCCTTAAAATAACATTAAATGCCATGCACTCCTACATTGAAAGAAATTATCATAATTTTGGAAAGTGTGTTGAGCTATCCTTTACAACATCTATAATGGTGGCAGTATAGCAAATTTATCAAATTAAAAGGGCATGTCAATTTTTTACTTTTGTTTTATTCATAAACTCGGTTCTTGTGTTCTTAACTCGTGCTGCGAGCCTGATGCCACCGTTGTTAAGTGACTGTGGCTAGCATTTCTCTTATTTATATAATGCAAAATTCTATGAACATCTTTGCCTTATTTTTAGATTTGTGCGTTCCTTGATATTGTGGATTTTAATTCTTTTTAAACATATAAGTGCCTATTTGATATATTAGTCTCAAAGTCACTACTTAAATTGCTTTTTATGACATTAAAAAAGGATCAAGATACATAAAGTTGAAAATCCTCGAAATTATCTTGTGCTAAATCATTGTGTTTATCCATTATCCATTTATTGGAGCTTGTGACCTTCCTTTTGTGGCTCCCCTTTCTTTGTTAAGTTTTTTAATAGATATATGTTTATCTTTTTTTATTTTTATTTTTTTTGGTCTTTATTAGAAAAATATTAATAATTTTTAGTTAAAACATTTCTATATGTCTAGATTCTACTCATAGTTACTGAAAAGTTGAGGAATATGAGATCTTAAAGCTTTAGTATGTCAAGTAAGTAAGTATGCAAAGTTGGCCTTAGTTTTGGATAATATGATTAGATGTTGGTTTTGGAGGATATAATACTGAATATTAGTTTGGAGAATATAACACTAAATGATTATGTTTATGAATTGCTTACTGAAAAAATTGCTTATTACCATACTAGTGTTTTGGTAAGTTTCCGTTTTTTGTACTGATTCATAGTTTAGAATCAGTTGCTTGGTTTGGAAACATTTGTTTCTATGATATTTGTATTAATTTTTGGAAAATATGGTCTTCATGAATCTGTCTTACTAGACTACTATACTCTGAGCTGGTGATGACAATTGTTGAAATAATGCGATAACTAGGGTAGTAACAGTCAGGAACTGTACATTTTTTTTCACATCACTTCTCTACTCGATTCCCAATCGAAATGATCTGTCTATTTATTTTTTAAGAATTTATGTTACATGGACTCGGATAAGTGTGGAGGGTGCAGGGATGGGTTTTATTTATTCTATTATTATTATTATTTTTTTTCTCATTCCAAGTAATAGAAAGTGTTGCATTTTAAATGCATTTTTCTAAGCATTAGCTCGACTTATACCCAGGCACAACAGATTGCATTGTCGGTTAACAATAGCAAAAACCCCAAAATGCATTTTCAAGCGGCATAGGTAGCTCAATTGTTCATGTTGTATATGGCCAATCAAAATTATACTCGTCAGGGTAGTGATTAGCAACTTCATTACCTAATAATAAAAGTGATAATGTCTATATATTGTGTGATGATTTTGTGGTTCATATATGTGTGTGTGTGTGGGGTGTGTATTTGTGTATTTTGGCCTCACCTTTCAGCTGCAATGGCGTAGATTTGTTGATCTGTTTCTTGATGGCTTTGTTCTGGAGGCATATATTCGATACCCCAAAGATTTAGGGGCTTGTTATTAACTAGAGTTGCTGTTCTTGCTAATCTGGTTTCCCCTTCTTTGGTAAATTTTTGGTTTTAGTAGCTCTGTGCTCCGTTTGGTTGCCTAGAAATTGCAAGAAATTAAAGTTTATGCTAATGTTAAATCTAATCAGAATTGGTGTAGCTCTATTTTAGATCCCTTTAAGTGTACGCTTTGTGGCTTGATGTCAACGCATATCCATCATGTTTCTCAGAAGTTGATTGGATCTAGTAATTCATCAATGGTGGTCTTGGATTTAGTAATTCATCAATGGTGGTCTTGGCCCAGGACCTTTGCTGTTAATTATATTTTATTACTCAAAGGATGAACCGAAGATTGCAATTGCTTGGTGGCTATACTTTACACTATCGATAAAGAGATGCCAGATGTGTCAGCATCATTTTGAACTATCGATAACGATGACAAATGTGCCTTCATCATTTTGAACTATCGATTACGATGCCAAATGTGTCTGCATCATTTTCAACTATCCATAAAGATGCCAAATGTGTCTTCATCATTTTGAACTATCCATAAAGATGCCATTTTGAACCCAAATGTGTTGGACTATCTAATTTTATCGAGATCTACCCATGGCCGGAGGAGAAGGTAGGCAATGTTAATGATGTGTCTCGAAAACTTTTATGACTTGATTCGACCAATACCTTGAAAGGCAAGGCTGTGACGGAATAAATAAATCAAAGAAATGCAAAAGTTATTTTAATCCGAGGGATTAAATAAGGCATAAAAATATAAAAATAAAAATATTTTAATCTGTAAGAATGTTTTAAGATTTCCTGAATTTCAGTACGGAAATGGAAAGAACATGTAAAATTAAGATTTTTTTTTGACCCGTAGTTTTCATGATTTATTCTCTTCATTTCTATTTTTCATGATTAGACAATAGAGTAGTTTCTTCAAAAAAAAAAAAAAAAAAACATAAAAATTTAAAACACAAAACATAAGAAAACAATTTTTATTAATGGAAATTATTATTTCTTCTTTCTCCCCCCTTTTTCCAATTTTGAACCGGTCGAAAATACAAAGCAAGGAGTCGTCAATTTTAACCTTTCCAAAAATTTGGAACGGATATACAATTTTATATAATGAGGTTATATTGGTCAAAAGAATATAAAATCCTCTCTTGCTTTGTATTTTTGGAATGGATATGTAATTTTATATACTAAGAGTATATTGGTTAAAAGTATATAAAATTTTCTCTCTTTTTTCTAACAATAAAAAAAAAAGTGTTACCGTAGGATTGTCTCATACATTTTCTTCTCCTCATCTTCTATTTAATTTTTCATTCCTCTAACAAAAAATAAAAGAAAATTTACAAAATAAAGAAAAGTATTTTAAGAGAAAATATCAGGAAAAGCAAAGGTAGAAAATAGTAATTTCCCATCAGTTTCTTTTTATTTATTTATTTTGGTCTTCTTTCAAAAATCTTTATTTCCAACTTTAGACCAAGTTAGCGCTAAAATTTGAAAGTCGAAACATTTTTAAAGATTTTAGAAATAATTTTTGTCTCCTTCTTCCTCCCTCTTTTAATTTCCCTCTAAACAAATGCAAATATTTTTTTGAATAAAGTATAATGATACCTCTTAAGATTTGGGGTAAAAACATACATATACAAGTTCGCTTATTTTTAGATGATGGCACTCCCTCAATATTGATAAAGTTGACAAAGTTGACAAAGACACTTTGATAATGGTGAATTAACGTTACTATCCTTTGACGCATTAAATTATCAATTTCTAAAAATTTGGAATGGATATACAATTTTATATAATGAGGTTATATTGGTCAAAAGAATATAAAATACTCTCTTGCTTTGTATTTTTGGAATGGATATGTAATTTTATATACTAAGAGTATATTTGTTAAAAGTATATAAAATTTTCTCTCTTTTTTCTAACAATAAAAAAAAAAAAGTGTCACCGTAGG